ACTAGGGATGGAGTAGTGTGCAGAATGTTTTTCCCACAAGGTGGCCTGCTAGAAATTATTGCATGAACTATGATACGTGAATCCACTTGAAAGCAAGGACTTTCAAGGGAATGTCCTGGCATGTCCACAGCATCTCTGTGGGAAAGGCAAAGGCCTAGGAGGAATATTCTTGGCTCTTTTCACGTGACTGAAGATGGTAAGACATATCATCAGGTGTATTCCCTGGCTGTCCTTGTATTTATTCCCTTAAGCTAACTGTAAGCATCACCTTGTTTGGCTTGCTTTACTTTTTTTTTTTTTTTTTTTTTTTTTTTTTTTTTTTAGTGGCGAATGCCGTTTATTGAAGGAGGGAGGAGGTCTTAAATAAATACAGGTTTACAGAACAATGGGAGGACCCCGGAGGGCAGAAGTTTGCTACTGATATTTTACAATCTTGCATCTAAGCTGTTAACACCCATTATGCAGGATACACAGACAAGGAACTTCCCTTAAGCATTCAGGAGGGTGGAACCCAGCAGGGAATTAGCATAGGGAGGATATCAAGGTCAAGGTCAGCAAGCAAGGCAACAGTTACCCAAAACGGGGGCCAGGGCCCTACAGGTCCTCTCTTTTACTAAAAAATGAGCTTCTGACTTGGGTTGGGACGTCAGCAGGTCACCTTACCTGTCATGGAGACGCCTACCCAGGCCACACAGGTGCTCTGTCTTAGGTTGGTGAGCGCCCCCCACGTATTACCCATCTCTCAATACTCATTATCATACAGGCTCAATCATGCGTGAGCTGCAGAGTTGATTGCTGCCAAAGATCTCAAAGTGGCACTGGGCTTGCAATCTGTGTGTTTGACACAGAAAAGACCAACAGAGGTCCTATCCCACCCATAGCCAGTAGGCTAAAGACAACTGAGCTATTCCCTTCCTTAACGAGCCTTACTGCAAACTGGAGCCCTTGTAAGATGGTATCCCAAAAGCAAATGGAACTTGAGTTTATAAATTTATAATTTTTAAAGCCAATCAAAATGTATATAACTATTGAATTGATTTTATCATGCCCAATAGAATGAAAGATTAACTGACTGTGGTAGCTGCTTTTGCTGCCAGGGTCTCCACTGTGCTAGCTGTAGTAAGCAATTATGAAATGGTAATCCCAGAAACAGTAGCAGCGGTGGCTGTCACTGCTATAACAGCAACAATGGCAGCACCAATGTCAAATTCTCTCCTGGAGCGTATGGACATCCACTGGCATGGATACAACTCCAGGATGGCTTGCTTTAATAGAAAAAAATGGGAAGTGCTTTGTTCACACTACTCAAAGGCTTGGACTCACCTGTTTACCCCATGCAGATCTTTGTCATTTCCATCCCAGGAGACTTAACCTCAGGGGCTGGTGGGATTTGACAATATTCCTCTGAAACCATTACATTATCCAACAGAAAAAAGGAAAGTTAAGACCATAAACAACCATTCACGGTGAAGCACTTGATAAATCCCATTACTCAGGAGGCAGAGGCTGGTGTATCTCTTTGAAGCCAGCCAGGTTTACACAGTTCCAAGCCCAGCAGGACTATGAAATGAGACCATTTCTCAGAAAAGGAAAGGAAAGGAAAGAAAAGAGAAGAGAAGAGAAAAGAAAAGAGAAGAGAAAAGAAAAGAGAAAAGAAGAGAAAAGAGGGAAGAAGAGAAAAGAAAAGAAAAAAAAAGAAAAGAAAAAGAAGAGAAAAGAAAAGAAGACAGCTGTTTCTGCAGACCCAGAACCCCAGCTTGTGTTGGGCAGACAGGAGGATTGTTGGAGCTTGCTGGACACAGGCAGAACAGTAAGTAGAGACAGATAGAGCTGAACCCCTGAGGTCCTCCTCTTGCCTCCAAGAGTGAACACACACACACAGACACACACAGACACACACAGACACACACAGACACACACACACACACACCAGCAGTGCTCCCCTCATTAAAAGGGCTTGCTTACTATTTCAGTTAAAGACTGTTAGAATTTACAGAAGGCTATTGGTCAACCAAAACAAATGGAGTCACATGTGAAAGCTCCATGTGATCAAGTGAAACTTGTTTATTTTGATCTCCCGAGAAACCAGGAAAGAGCTAATAGTCAAATCCCTAAGGAGGTCAGTTATAGCTTGTCATCAGGAAGCCCTGCTTACCTTTTGGAAGGAAAATAACTATTTCTTCTTTCCATGGCTCTTTTCTATCTGCAATGCCAAGCTTTTGCTCAGCTCATCAGAATATTCATTGTATAGAATGAGAAGCTGCCTTATTCTAGGATCTTCAAAGTCATTAATGTTATGCCCAGATCTTGGGGTCCCCCAAAAGACCACCACAGAGACTGAATCACATATGTAAAAGCCAAGAGCCTTTATTTCAAGCTTGGAGCTTGGTCTCTCTCTCTGATGCAGTGGTGAGAGCAGAGAGCCCCTAGCCTGGGCAGGGTAGGGTTTTTATCATAGCAGAGGTTGTGGTGAGGGGATTACCAGGGTTAAGGACCCTGAATGGCTGAAAATTGTCTAGGAGAATGTTTGGAATGTCAGGTATTTCCCCTTAGATGCAGGCCCTCCCTGGCTGGGGTCAGCTCATGGCCTCTCCTGGATCGGGGTGTTGCCTGCCAGTAAGCCTGTCACAGAAGCTGTTCTGGGCCTCTAAGCCTGTCATGGCAGTTGTGTGGTCAAGCTGTTTTGGGTTCTCCCAGAAATTAAGGTCTTTAAAACTGCTATAATTTCTTTCTTTTTTTTTCTTTTTTATTTATTTATTTATTTATTTATTTTTGTTTTTCAAGACAGGGTTTCTTTGTGTAGCTTTGTGCCTTTCCTGGAACTCACTTGGTAGCCCAGGCTGGCCTCGAACTCACAGAGATCCGCCTGCCTCTGCCTCCCAGAGTGCTGGGATTAAAGGCGTGCGCCACCACCGCCCGGCAATTTCTTTCTTTTAAGAAACTCAAAGTCAGGCAGGCAGTGGTGGCACAGGCATTTATACTCAGTACTCGGGAGGCAGGCAGATAGGATCTCTGAGTTTGAGATCAGCCTGGTCTACAGAGTAAGTTCCAGGACAGTCAGGGCTGCACAGAGAAACCCTGTCTCAAAAGAAACAAGAAACAAACCCAGGGTCGTTACAGTGGCTTCGAGTCCCTACAGGAGGCCTCTTCCCTCCTTTGCCTCTTGTCTTCCCGGCTTTCTGACTATCTCCCAGTCACACTGGTCTCCTTGTTCTTCCTCGGTGTGTTAAAGACAGTCCTGGTTAGGGATTTGGCACGTGGTGTTCTTTCCCAGACCTTTCTCTTCCCTTCCCATTTGTGCCTAGACCTGGTGCCTTTTCCCTCAACTATCTCTTTCTCTCTCTCTCTCTCTCTCTTTTTTTTTTTTTT